AAGACACATATTATCACACAAAAACGCGACAGCCATCTTTTTAAATGTACACCACTAGAATGTTATATCTGTACATTATTATTATTAGCTGTGTACCTAAACAGATTTTACAAAATGGCCGTCACTTTTTTTTTATGAAATCAATTCTGTGTTATTAGGTACTATGATAGGTCTTTGGAAATAATCCGTTTATTAATTATATTTCAGCAACAAGTGCGATAAACGCACTACGCAAACGATATTGGTATTTTATTATCCACACAAGTGTTATTTCAGGCTATATTTTCATGCTCTTTTGGCATTACTAATTTGCGATCTTCTTTTGGTCTAAGATCAGAGTAAAGTGAGCGCTTTCAGGTAAATCCCATTAAATTATCATATACTCATGTGGGGGTAGTCGAGTACGTTAATTAAATCAAACCAAATCATCGCCAAACCGATCGGTATGGACATAATTTTATAGAAAAATAATATTATGTAGGTTTGCGTTATAAAGCGTTGGCGTGCCGTTACAATAGTATTAATAACGGTTCGGTTCTGTTATATTATTATGTATATTTATTATTATTGGGTCGGCCGAGCGCGTCGACGGGTGAATCTCCGGGTTCGACCTTGTCGTGCGAATCGCACTGTTGTGTGTCTGTGGCTATAAGCTCTTGGGGCCAAGTTGGTGCACATTTTGTAAGTACTGTGGTCTGTGCGCAAACTGTGTAACAGATACACGTACGACGCGAGTATTGTGTGAACTGTTATATTGTACGGGAGCGAGCCGACCAGGAACGGAACGCGGTCTGGCGCGTCGCTCGTGCCAATTGGCCGGCTATTGTTTGCCGGCATGGGTGGCATGTGAAAAGGAGCTCCGAGACGGTTTTCTTTTGCCGGGAATTATTTTTCGTCGAGTCCAGAGTAAAATCATTTCAAAATGGGAAAACGGCGCGGCGTACGCAATCACGCGTGTAAACTGGGCCTCAAGTCACGGGGCGGTCGGAAGACAACCACGCACGACAACCGTGGTCCGTGTCCGAGTTGTATAACATATAGTACCATTTACAACGGGATAGATGTATTATAAAAAAAAATAATAATAATAATAAAAATGGTCGGCACACGACGGTTCCCAAGTATACAATAACAAAGTGTCGCAGTTACCGCAACCGCAGTCGAGTTAGCTCTCTATATAGATGCAACAACCGCGGTCGGTTTGACGGCGCACGATGACATGTCTGTATGAACACACGCGAGACTCATGCACGCCGACATCTTACAAGCAGTGCACGGACACACGGTGTTCGAGTCGCCTTGCACATCACACTCTGCAAAGGAAAAACGCAATCGGATGACTTGAACAAAAGAGCCCGAACCTCTTGTTGGCATTGATATTAAACTCGAACGGTTTTGCGTATTCCAATAGTTTCCCATTTTTTTTTTCTGTCAAACCGCATAATCAATCACGCGGCGTGCGATAACAATTGCAATATATATTACAACAATGTCACGATCGAATCTCATTTGTAAGATCAGACGACATCAGCTGATTTATCCGCACTTTTGGACCTGATAATGTAATGTCTCGCAAACAAACTTTACTTCTTCTCACTCCATATTTACATTCAAGTCTACCCAAGATGTTGTTGCGGCGACCGCAGTGGCTTTTGCGACTTTCTGGTTTGTGACTTTGCCAACTTGTCCATTTTAACGGTACCTACCATTGTATCGTTTTGTGATGTGCGGAAACCCGTGACGTCGTCGTGTCGGTCCATATATTGTATGCTTGCAATCGTCTCCGTTCTATGCGATAAACCGTTTTCTTTGTGTGATAACACTATTAACGGCCGATGCTAATTTGTTCGCGAGTTCGTTACGGGTTAGCAGATAGGTACGTACAGTGGTTATAGTGGTCACTCGCAATGGCCGGGCACGCGCGAGACGTTCGGTTTACCGTTGTCAGGTAACAATAATAATGTATTATCTATGTGACGTGGCGTGCGATGAATTTTCCTCAACACAAAACCGAAAAAAAAAACCCAAGTACGACTGTTTTTTTCCTGTAATATCGCGACACACGGATAAACCGGTTTATCTAAATTATTTGATGTTATCGAAAACATATTAGATGTATATATTACTATGTCTCTACCGAGCAGCTAAAATCCCTAAAAAAAAAAAAGAGATCCGAGTGAATTATTATTCGTTAAGACCATGTATGGTAATTGCACGTATAACTGTACAAAGCGACGACGACGACGATGACGGTATATTATGATACTTCCAAAGTCTATTCGGTTTCGTTTGACACTATTTTGTTATTTAATAAATCCTACATCGACGCACACGCAACCGTTGATTCGCCAAATATTGGCAACGTTTTTGTCATCGACCCTACTGTATCATAATAATAATATTATGGCGCCCACGGCGCTACCACACGCGTTTGAGTTACGAATGGCGAAGGAGGTGGATCATGTATGTACCGCTCGCGCGCGCGCGTGTGTGTGTGTGTTAAGGTGAAAAAAACGTCTAAGAAAAATCATTCAACGACAATACGATTTATGAGAATAAATAAAAAAAACAACAAAAACGCTTATGGTATTTTACGAAAGTGCGCTGTCCGTGTCATCACCGCTGTTAGCTCTAGTAATAGTGGCCTAGAGATCACTAGTCTAGCAATAACTATACAATATCTGGCTCTTACCTCTATACACCGTAAGAAAATATCATAATATCTGGGTTGGGGCAAAAATAATAATGGCAATCGCTATATTACTATGTCGTTGAATAATATAAATATATTGTCACTTGCATGCGATGATGACTCTACCGCATAGGTCACACCCGAAAAAGCGCGCGCACACGTGCACCGGACGCCGATAAAAGATATAACCGAGGGCGATAGGCCCGAGATGATCTCACAATAACAATAATATTAATAATACCTATCTTGTAAAAAATAATATCGTATAGGTACAACGGCATTACGCCGTCTCCTCGACCGCGTGTCGTCTTTCACTTCTGATGGGTAAAAAAAATATCTACTTAGAAGTGAAAAAAAAAAAAAATGACGATAATAATATATAATAACTGGTTTTGGTTAAGCAAATATTTGACTTTACCGAGTCTCTGTAATATACTTTCCCGAATTTGTGTGTGTTTGGGCATTATTGACATCTTCAATATTATTATCTTATCTATATTCCTTTTAATGTATATGTGTGTGTGTGTGTGTGTGATGACGCGCTTGTGGATTTAGGAAAAACGTCTTCTTCTTTTATTTTTTCTTTGGGGGCCCATGTAGAGAGAGAGACATATATAGGTACACCAACAACAATAATATATTATACATATATTACGAGTAATGTGATAATTTTCTGCCGCACGCACTTGTAGTTTTTTTTTTCTCCTTTTGGAACGTGTCTGAATAAACGATGCCGCCGTTGCCTTCAAAGTATTTTATTTGCCTCTTCTCCATTAACAGTTTACCATCAGTTTTTAAATATATGTTTTATCAAACGCACGTGCGTTATAAAAAAAAAATTTTTAAATCTAAAAGCTATCAATTTTCGTTATTGCTATTATTAATTTACACTTGGTTTAAAACTAGTTCCCCCGTTCGAGCCGGATATCTAATGACTTTAATTATGTATAAAATATACGTTTATATGTTTTACAATATTCCATCTGTCTGTTGTGTGTGTGATAATTAATATCCGACAGAATATAGGTAAATCGGAATTTATATGCGCGTATTTCTGGCAACTCTTTTTAGCATACACTTATAGGATATATTTTTTTATTATTTTTAATAAAAGAAACCGGTTGTTAACAACAATATGCGTATAATATAATTTATATATAGACAAATTTATCGTTACCAGCACTATAATAACAATCCTAACGGGCTATATAAACAAATTTATACTGACCATTATCGAAAGCGTTGTAAAATATAATATTATTATAGCGTGGTTTTTTTTTTTCGAGTTGAATATTATCTATTTTATGAATGAACTCCATCGAGTCACCGGACCAACGGCCACTATAGTATATTTTTGAGCAGCTAGCAAAACCACAAAGTAGTTTAAATGGTAAAACGTTACTTCGACGATCAAATGCTGTTTATTTTTGTTTTCATCGTAACTGAAAATAATAATTTATATAATGATAATAATGATATAATGAGTAATAATGATAATAATTTCATTGAATCTTTTTTATTAAACGGTAAACCTAACACCTTTGTCACTGTTGGACGTAACTAATTACATTATAATAATCTTATGAAAAAAATAATCTTATAGTAATACTTTATATTACTTTGTAATCGTTAATCGTCGAATTGTAATGGTATGATATAAAATACATTTTATTTTTAGCCACTAAAAAGTACTTACATATATATTATTATTATATAAAATAAGTTGTACCAATAAAAATTTGAAAGATAACTGCAACTATTATAATAATGGATGTTTAGTTATTTTTGAAAAAAGATGGCCGGTTAAAAATAAATACATTTGTGTAGTCAATAAACTGTGTAATCGGTATTAAAAATATTTTTGTAATCATACCATACGATTACTTTGCCGATTTATGATTACATTAATCTAACATTATAATTACTGATCTTAATCAGATTTAACGGTACGATGCGCGTGTTAGCCGTTTCCGTTCATGACAATAAAATCTGTATAGGTAACATTATTAGGTATTATCATTGTGAAATCGAAGGTATCATGTTATTTTGGTGTTGGGTGCAGGCGTATCGCGGTAAGCGGATGGGTATATACACAATTATAGGTACTACCGGTCGTGTTCGAGTGACCGGCAATTAAGCTTCGGACGGACGCGGTGGGTGGATACACATAGTATAATATATGTGGTTACAACTTAATAAGAATTATCTACATACGGTTTGGTCGTGTGAATAGCGCAGCGTTTGATACACAATTTTTTTTCTCTCTCGAGTAATTCGAATAATATTAAACGGTTTTGTTGTGTTTCAGGTTACCGGCATGGATCACAAATCCGCGTGGCACTGCAACGCGCCGAACAAGGTAAGAAACGATATTATAAGGACAGAGAGAGAGAGAGAAAACCAAACTGAGTAGATTTATATTTTAAAATAAAAATGAATGAAATCCCGCGGGTCTTAAACCAGTTTTTTATTTTATATAAACGTATCCACACAACCGGGTAGTTCGATTAATATTTAAATGCATTCGGTTCGGCGCTGTACGACGACCACGGCTGGGGAATTGATTAGGCACCAGATATCATTAAGCAAACCGATATTATAGTATTATTATTATATATAAATATATATATATATATATACGTTTTTCTGACACATGTATATATGTGTATTATTATTATTATTATTATGTGTATTTTCAACGTATACCCGAGTATAAATTACATTTAGTCCGGCATGATTAAAAGGTACCGGTTTTCTATTAAAATAATAATAATAATAAATAAGTTGCTAGAAAAAAAAAACAATAATAATATATTTCCTACCGAACGGATGTCCTGGACGGAGCAGGGACACACGCCATCGACTGTACCTACAATCTACACATAATACAATATCTCTTGAGGATTTATGACGACTCTGTTATACATTCGTCTAAAACGTTCATATTAATTGAAAACCGTCGCCCAAGGTAGCCGCAGATAGATATTTTGTTTTTTTTTTTTTTTAACGTAGACCGCCGGTGGAAATATTACATTTGTAATTATATCGACAGCCCATACACTATAATATTATATTGTATCCGATCTGTTCGATAGCAGCACTATACAGATATGGTACGCATACCGACAAAATGATAATATCATTACTGAATCGTTTACAACGTTTTTTCCGCCGGTAATCGGTTTGGCTGTACGTACAAAATATACACGGTCATTATAATAGTAATAATTTATTAAATTGTCAATAAATATTAATAATAATAACCGGCCATGATTTATGGCGACTGCGGGCTGCCGTTTTTGATCATGACCTCTCCAGCCGCCAGCGGATTGTGTGCCGCAGGGCCTCGCGGTTTCTATACGTTATAAAAAAATCCATTTAATAGTAATAATACATGCTACTAAATTATAATAATAATAATAATAATATACAACCGTGCCGGTGCCGGAATCGGCAAGCACACCAAAAACCCACACTAGGAGAACCCGTAAGTTATGGGGTAGCTGATAGGCTGTATAGTGTACAATACTTTATGACAGTGCTCGCCCGTGGACAGCGTGAAGATTTACATTTAGCTTCAAGCCCAAGTCGACCGGGTAAAACGATTTTTTTCTCGTTTAAATTATATTCCGGCCACGAATGGACCGGGAAATTTGCATGCGATTTAATACAATATAATATTATGTTCTTTAGATCGAACACATTCGTTTCGGTTTTTGGTACAGCTACCGCTACTGCCACCGCTGTACAATGCAAGCATATATTATACATGCATATTAAATAGAGCGAATCTCTCGTCCGGACAATGCAATAACGGTCGGCAACGAGTGAAAGTTTTCAAAGCTGTTGTTCAGCGTTTTAGGGACAGTGTCTAATTGTCGCCACGCGGAAAACGGAATAAGATGGTCGGGGCTTAGTGCTATTTGTTTACTCGGCCGCGTTGTTTACCGGAGGAAAAAAAATGCACCGTTCGACGCCGAGTGTATAGGTGTAGGTATACACGATAATTATTTTCATCAACTCCATTAAATCATACAACGTTTATTTCGATCACGTACGCGCCAGTGTACATGTATTATAACGGGACAACTATAGTCATAAAGGTCTTTGGGCTGTCTGCACACCAAACTCTACACAATAAGCACCATGGCAATTATGCAGTGTACACAATGCGCATATGTGAGCATAATATGATAAAACACTAAAAAAACTGTCTGGGCGACCAATTTGATGATCGAATCCAAGTTTGGATAACACACGCCGTGTTTGGAACCGCGTGATTATCAGCTTTCCCTCGACAGAACCGTGTGTTGGACTAGAACTGATTCACCTTTTTTTTTTCCCCGTTGTTTTTTATGTAAAACGTTTAATATTGGAAACGCGTGTCGTATCACGTTGTCGTCCGCAAAATATTATAATCATAATATATAGGTGTACAATTATGAGTGTACACAGTGGACCGTTCGAGGAAACAAACGGTACATGCGACATGCAAATGATGGCGTGATTCACAGAAAACAATAACGACACGTGATGTGCACCACTCGGTCGAAGCTATGCAATTTTTTACGGCCTCGACGGACGTGTCATTGTCTACGCGCAAAAAAATTATTGCAAGCACATACATACGCCACAATAGGTATATACCCTGTCGTATAGCGTCCAAGGCCTCTTCTGAAGAAAAGGGGTCAGAGCGAAAGTCATGGTCCTGAAAGTTAGGCTCCTCCTAAAGCCCGGCAAAGCTACAATAAAGGACAAGAGAGAGAGAGAGAGAGACATGTTGAAATTGTTTTAAAGCAACTCGCTCCGTCAATAACGGAGACATATTTACCTAAAACTAGCTACCTACTAACACTGCTTCAAATGTAGACATTTTATTTATTCGTTAGAAATACTAACGTCGTACCTACGTTAATATTCTATGATCCGGATTGGAATAATTTTTCGTAGATACAACACTGTGTGACTTAAAAATTGCACTCGACGGATTTCCGTAGCATAATAATACTGCGTTTGCGACGGCAACAGACACTCAAATCAAGTGTACCACACGGGAACGGATATGAATCACTACCACGCCAGGTGAATCACTGCTGGCGAAATAATAGTGTGTATACTGTACATTATTATTCATAAAATATGTTTTCTCGTTTTCCGTACAGCATATTATCCTATGAAGATTCGCCGGGCGGCGCTGATTTGGCCACGTTGATAAGATTATAATATCATTTTTTTTTTTTTGTGCTCTTAGTATGTAGGTAATTGATTGCAGACGTAGGCCGTCATGGGGTTCTCATATATAGGCGCTTTGCTCGTCCGTAACGAAATTTACCCTCGGGTAACGCGCGCAATGCCGTCCCGAGTTCTTAGTAATATATAGTTTAATATGCACGTACTTATATTCTTATTATTATCATATAGATATTGCGGAAAAAAAAAAAACAAGAAAAATCATCCGATCGCTGTCTCATAGTCGTTATCTGACAGTCGAATCTGCTCGTCACACAAGTACACGTACGGCTACATTATTGTATCTACTATCTATAATAGTGTTGCCGGTTCGAAACTAATATACAATCATATTTTCTCGTGTATAGGATTCACGAAATTTATCTCTACCCAAAATATTATACACGCATGCTGTGCGCACACTCTTCGGACTTCTAACGTGTGTGTTATGTAGGTACAATATATTATTATTGTATTGGCAGTGTGTAATATGTATTTTATGGTAATGCGCAAAACGCTATTCTCGAAAGTCTGTACTAGCGACAAGTGTATTGACAAATATCATGCAAATTCGAAATCCTATCCGACTATACATCGATATCATAATAAAACTATAATAATATATACATACATTCCTGTAAGACATATATATATATATATATACATCTAAATTGCACGTACACGTAGCATAACTTGTGTAATTTGAATCCGCCACTATAACGGTACGCGCCAACACCAGCACGAGCCACGATGGGATTCATATTGAATGAAAACCAATTGAAAAAAATGACAAATAAATGTCATCAAAGCGATGACCAATCTGCGCTACTTTTACATATTATAGTACACCGTCTAAATGTAACGTTGGAAAATTTAACTAAACTGGCAATTTGTGCTAGTAACAAAAAAACAAAACATTTTTTTTTTTTTTCAACTGCCGGAAGACAAACGACCCATCTCTATCCGAAAACCAAACTAATTTTAATCGAAGACGTCGGAGAATTTCCTTGGCTATTTTTTTTTTTTTTTTTGGTACACTTGACACGAAAACGGCAAGTTCACGGCGCGCGTGTTAGGCAAATCGGACGACTCTGCCGTGCCTGGCTCTGGGAAAAATATAATCATAATTAATTTTTTGTTTTATGCGCGCGGGCATTATTATTTTTTAGATTCACAACCGTGGGCGTCCCTACGAGGCGCACGCGTGCTTAGCGAAAACAATACCCTTGGCCGTTTCCACCGCGGTGCCGGCTTAAGTATAATAATATAATGTATACACACAGCGTTTGCTCGGTCGTGTATAATTACTGTGGTAAATTTTTTAGCGTATAACAGATAAAACCGGTCCCGCGTGGAGACTATTTATGATAAAAATAAAAAACACAAGTGTCGTGGGCGGTCGTGGTTAATGAAAAAATTACTGTAATACTATTATTGCGCCACGGTCGGTCTGTACTAACAGGAAAGTCCAAAACGATTAACGTTGGTTTTTTTTTTTTATGCCTTGTCCGGCGTTCAGTGTCTCTCTCCCCCCCCCCCCTCGCTCCCGGTTTTTGTCACAAAATGTCCAAAACGTCGATATTCTTTTGGACTCGCATACATAATAATATTTTACGAATTAATGCACATAGAAAACGGTTAACCAGTTTCTGGCACGATGTCGGGGCGTTTGGGTCAAGGTGGCAAGAGAAAAAAAAAAACAATAAATTCGTTTCTTTAGTGGGTACTTACAAATTGTTTTGTACAATAACAATATCGTTCTGTTTTCTCTGCCTCGACGGATCTAAATTATTGACGCCCCACGCTACTTAACCCCCCCCCCCCTCCCCCCGCCGATTGTTTACACCTATAAATATTATACAGGAGAAAAACATTATACAGTAGAAAATTATGATAATGGCCCAGTGCCACTGGAAATCGGATGCATATTTACATTACTTTTTCGGTTTTATTACCCACCGGCGGGTTATTACTGTAACTGTATTACTATTATTATTATTACTCACAAAATCTTTTCCCTGTTTTCGTCCAGCGACGTGACTCTTTTGACTTTTCCAGTTTCACCATAACATGTTGTGCCCCTCGGACCGTAAATCATAACATTATACGCATTATAGACATCTGACCTTT